TTAAGTCCTCCGTTTCCTCATTAATTTTCTGTCTGGTTGTTCTGTGCATTATTGAAAATGAAATTAAAGTCTCCTACTATTTCTGTAGTGCTATCTATTTCTTCAATTCTGTCAATGTTTGCTTCATATGTTTTGGTGGTCTGGTTTTGATACATATATGTTTATAATTGTTATATCTTCCTAGTGAAGTGTCGCTTTTATCTTTTTTTTTTTTGAGTCACAATCTTACCCTTTCACCCAGCCTGGAGTGCAATGGCCTGATCACAACAATCATGGCTCATGGCAACCTCAACCTCCTGGGCTCAGGCAATCTATCCCTCCACCTCAGCATTCCCAGTAGCTGGGACTACAGGAGCTCGCCACCACCTTGGCTAATATTTCTGAATTTTTAAAAAGAGATGAGGTTTCACTATGTTGCCCAGGCTGGCCTTCAACTCCCGGGCTCAAGCAGTATGCCTGCCTCAGCCTCTCAAAGTGCTGGGATTACAGGCACGAGCTACCTTTTATCATTATGTAATGTCATTTCATTTCCCCCCTCCCCCAGATTTTAGAATATTTGTGTATACAAATGAGATATCTTGGGGATGGAATCCAAATCTAAACATGAAATTTATTTATGTTTTATATGCACCTTATACACATAGCCCAAAGGTAATTTTATACTATGTTTTTAATAATGTACGTGAAACTGTTTGTGTACATTGGAACCATCAGAAAGGAAAGGTATCACTATTTCAGCCACCCATGTGGACAATCTGTGGCTGTTTGGACATCACCATCATTCCTGACTCTGAATTTATATGCTACTGATAAGCAGTCATTTTCTTACACTTATTCACACACAAGTTCTTAACAGTAAGACATATGACATACCATCCATAGAGTGAAAAAATAATGTCTTCAGGGTGGGTAAGCTGCACAGTAGCCTCACCAGAATATGTGTGTCAGTTATTAAGTAATAGCAGCAGTAAATGATGGAGGCTTTCACCTATGAGACTGTTTTTTGATTTAAAAGGTTACTGTACAATGTAATTTATTTTTTTAGGTGAGAAGAAACATCAGAAGCAGTTGAAGGATCAGTAGTTGGATCCTTTAGGGTTAAGGAGGCATTCTGCTGTGTGACTTTTAAAAATGTTTCCTCCAGTGCCATATGCTTCACTAACAATGGTTTTTGTCCTAGAAGTCTCTTTTTTATTTTATAAACTGATATGATTTCTTGTTCTGTTATGAATGCATGGTGCTCTAGTCTTTCAGTAAGTCCACCACACATTTTCATCATGTGGTCTGTAGACACTTTTTCTGCAGTGTTAACAATGTCATCTTCACCTTTTTCATCCACTTATGGGATCATGTCAGCCCTCAAAAAGTTTTGGATTTTGGAGCATTTTGGGTTTTTGGATTAGGGATGCCTGACATGTAGCTATCCTTCCTCTCTTTTGATTATTTTTTTCCTATGGGATTTCTTTTTTCATTCTTTTGCTTTTAACTTGTATGTGTTCTTTGAGCCACAGTGAGTCTCTTGTAGACAGTATACAGTTGACTTCTGCTTATTTTAATTCAGTCTACCTATCTGTGTCTTCTGATTGAGGAGTTAGAACATTTATATTTGAAGTAATTATAGATAGGGGAAGGACTTAGTATTGCCATTTTGCTAATTAATTTCTGAATGTTTTATAGCATTTCTTTTCTGTCGTAAACTGTCTTCCTCTGTGTTTAGTTGATTTTTTTGTAGCAATTTTGATTTCTTTGTGTGTGTTGTGCATATTTTATTTATTTTTTTAAAGACAAGATTTTGGTATGTTGCTCAAGCTGGATTTGAATTCCTGGACTCAAGTGATCCTCCCACCTCCACCTCCTGAGAAGCTGGGACTATAGGTGCATGCCACCATGCTGACTGCCTTTTGTGTTTATTCTGAAGATATTTTCTTTGTGATTGTCACAGGGATTATATATAACATCCTAATGTTATAGCATTGTATTTTAAACTGATACCAATTTAACTTTAGTTGTATACCAAAACTTCTTTATAGCTGTTAACTACCCTTCCCCTGTTTTTTGGTATTTATGTAACAAATGACATCTTTTTTTTTTGAGTTGGAGTCTCACTTGGTCGCCCAGACTGGAGTGTAGTGGCCGCTCCCGGCCACCCCAGCCTCGACCTGCTGGGCTCTGGCGATCCTTCTGCCTCAGCCTTCCAAGTAGCCGGAATTACAGGCATGCACTACCACGCCAGGCTGATTTTTTGATTTATTGTAGAGATGAGGTCTCGCCAAGTTGCCCAGGCGGGTCTTGAACCCGCGGGCTCAGGCAATCCACTCACCTCAACCTCCCAAAGGCGCGGGATTACAGGCTGAGCCACCGAGCCCAGCTAACAAATGACATCTTTATACATTGTGTATCCCTTAACATAGACTCATAATTTTTAAAATACTTTTGTCTTTTAAATCCTGTGATAGAATAAAAAGATGATAAAGTCAAAATTACAATAATATTGGTTTTTATATTTGCCACGTTTTTACCTTTACTAGAGAACTTTATTTTCCTATTGCTTTGTGTTACTGTCTGGTGTCCTTTCTTTTCAACTTGAAGGAATCCCTTTAGAATTTATTGTAGGGTAAGTATAATGGAAATGAACTCTCTCAGCTTTTGTTTATCTGGGAATATCTTAATTCCTCCTTTATTTTTGAAGGAGATTTTAACTGGATAGAATATTTTGGCCTAAGTTTTTCTTTCAGCATTTTAAATATAACACTTTTTGGTTTTCAAGGTTTCTGCTGAGAAATCCACTGATAATCTTAATTAGGATCCCATGTTCATGACAAGTTTTTTTTTTCTTCTTGTTACTTTTAAGATTCTTTCTTTGTCTTTAGCTTTCAACAGTTTATCAGGTCTCTCATTGTGGGTCTCTTTAGATTTCTCCTAGTAAGAGAGTTTGGTGAGATTCTTGGATTTGTATATCCATGTATTTCCTTAAGTTTGGTAAATTTTTATCTATTATTTTCTCAAATTAGCTCTCTGATTCTTTGTCTATCTCTCTTTCTCTGAGACTAACATAATGTATGTAATGGTCCACTTCATGATATCCTGCAAGTCCCTTCGGTTTTGTTTTTCTTCTTTTTTTTCTTTGTCTTCTGTACCTCACTTTTTAATTTCAAATGACCTATCTTTAAGTTGCTGATTCTGTCTTCTGTCTCTTTGAATGTGGTATTGATTTTCCCTAGTGAATTTCTCAATTCAGTTATTGTATTTTTCAGTTGCAGAATTTTTGTTTGGCTCTTTTTTATATTTTTTAATTTCTCCCTCTTTGTAGATATCCTCATTTTGTTTATATATAGTTTTCCTGATTCATTTTAGTTCTTTGTCATTGTTTTTCTTTAGTTTTTTGGGCATTTTTAAAAGTTGTTTTTAAAAGTCTTTTTCTAGTAAATTTTAAGCCTGTATTTTTTTACAGTTGGTTTCTTAAGGTTTATTTTGCTTTTTTGAATGAACCATGTTTTTCTTTTTTTATATACTTTGTGACCTTTTATTGAAAATTGGGCATTTGATAAGACAGCCACCTTTCTCAGTCTTTGCAGACTTGCTCTCTGTTGGGAAAGGCCTTCACCAGTGACTCCCGAATAAAGGCTTAGGTCTTCTCAGGCCTTTTCTGGGCATCCATCATCCCTTGGCCTGTGTGTATGCTCTTTTCTCAATTCCCTCATATATACAACTTATTTTACAATGTCTCATTTTCCCTTAGATTCCCACCTCTGCTTCTTCTCAGAGCCTTCGATAGTCTGTTGTATTTCTCTGCCCTTAATCTCTTGCCCTATACAACTGCAGGTGTACGGTTTTAGGCAGCTCTATGTGTTGTGGCATCCATCACTGCTTTTATTGGCCTTCAACTTTATCTCCAAACTCTGCCTGAGTTCCAAGTCATGTGAGACAGACACCAGTCTTTTCAGCAGTCCTCAGACAGTCCAGAACACTGCAAACCAGTTCCACTGTTTTCCTTGTAGATTGAGGAAGGAAGTGAGGAGTGGGTGGATTCCATGTTGGGAGAGGATGGGGCAAAGGGGAATGAAAATACTATGGAAATGCCTGCTGTTTTGAGTGTGACTTTTTCTTTTGAGGGGAATGAGAGCCTGTAGCTTCCTAGAAGGCCATCTCTCTGACATCACTCTCCTTTCACTTCTGCAAGATAATTTAAGTACAGAGTTCTAGGTTGGTTATTGTTTTCTTTCAACACTTTACCTATTTTACTCTTTTTTGTTTTCATGGTTTGTAAAGAGTATAATATAAATCTTATACTTGTAGCTCTGTAGTTAATGAATTTTCCTTCTGTCTTATAAGATTATCTTTGTCTTTGTTTTTCTTCATTTTGATTATGGTATGCCTACATGTAGATATTTTGGTATTTATCCTGTTTGGTGTCTTCTGAGCTTTCTAAACCTATGGTGTTTTTATTATTAATTTAGGAAATTTTTTTTGATTTTCTCTTTTTTTTCTTTCTGGTGGTACCATTAACTGTATGCTACGGCTTTTGCAAAATTGTCCTACAGTTCTTAGACATTCTGTTATTTTTTTCATTTTCTATTTTATGAATTTGGGAAACTTATATTTATATACTTTGAGGATTACTGATTTTGGATTAAACAGTTTTTGTCCAGCTGTTCATTGCAAGTATATTGAAATACAATTCATTTTTTTGTATATTGATCCAGTATCATACTACTTTGTTAGGTGTATATTGTTTGTATAATTCTGATTAAAATGTTTGTATATGTTAACATTGAACTACAGTTGCAGAGGTCAAAAATGACAATAAGTGAAGTTTTTGTCGAACATGCCATCTTACACCATGGAGAAGAATGAAGATGAGCAAATAAGCTCATGGTAGATTATATTTTCTGTTATTTATGATTATTTTTTCTTAGTATAATAGGAATGAAGCATACTTAACTTTAAATGAAAAACATCTGATTGTTTCGGTTTTTTAAAATATATACAATCTTTTTTAGGAGCTGTGGCCCTCAAGAATCTTCAGATTAAGGAAAATGCCCTGGTAGGTTTTGACTATGAAAATTTGTAAAGTTATTGAATTTAATAAATTTTGCAAAGTGGAGTTTTAATCTCCCTAAAATCACAAACTGACTGTGTAATGTTTTCTGTTTAAAATACATTTTGAATATTTATTTTGAATGCTTAGCCTATTTTCCAGTCATTTTTAAGTTTTATCTTTAACATCATTTTAATCATTTTTAGTGTACAATTCAGTGGCATTAATCACATTCACAATGTTGTACAACCCTCACTAGTATTTATTTTCAAAGCTTTTTCACTTCTCTAGGAGAAACTTTGTAACCATTAAGAAATAACTAATTTCCTCTCCCTGTGGACTCTGGTAACCTCTGATCTACTTTCTGTCTCTGAATTTGCCTATCCAAGGCTTACAAATGGAATCATGCTATGTTTATCCTTTTGTGTCTGGATTATTGCCCTTAGCATAATGTTTTCAACGTTTGCCCATGTTGTAGCATGCATCAGAATGTCATTTCTCTTTATGACTGAGTAATATTCCGTTGTGTGTGTATACTACAGTTTGTTTATCCATTCATCTGTTGATGAACTCTTGGTTTCTGCCTTTTAGCTCTTGTGAGTAATGCTGCAGTAAAATTTGGTGTACATGTATCTGTTCAGTTCCTGCTTTCAGTTTCTTTGAGTATATACCTAAAAGAAATTGCTAGATCATAAGGTGATTCCATCTTTAGCTTTTTCAGGAGCTGCCAAGGTGTTTTTCCATAGCAGTTGCACCATTTTACATTTTCTCTAGAAATACACGAGGGTTCCATCTTCTCCAAATCTTTCAACATTTATTATTTTCTGTTTTTTTCTTAAGTTCTTTTATAGCCACCCTGATGGCTATGAAGTAGTATCTTGTTTTGATTAGCATTTTCTTAATGACTAGTAATGTTGAGCATCTTTACATATGCTTGTTGCCACTTGCATATGTCCTTTGGAAAAAACGTCTATCCAAGTCCTTTGATATTCTTTAATCAGGCTTTTGGTTGTTGCTGACTTGTAGGAGTTCTTTGTATATCCTGCATGTTGACCCATTATCAGATACATAATTTACAAAGATCTCCCCCCATTTGATGTGTTGCCTTATCCCTCTGTTGATAGTGTCCTTTGATACACAAAAGTTTTAAATTATTTATTATTATACTATTTTTAGAGATAGAGATCTGTCTCTGTCATCCAGACTGGAGTGTAGTGACTCAGTCACAATTCATTGCAGCCTTGAACTCTTGGGTGAGCTCCCCTCTGAGCTATCCTTCCACCTCAGCCTCCTGACAGCCGAAACGTTTTTTAATTTGGTAAAGACCAGTTCATCTATTTTTTTTTTTATTGCCTATGCTTTTGTTGTCATATTCGAGAAATCATTACTGAATCTAATATCATGAAGATTTTCTCTTATGTTTTCCTTTAAGAGTTTTATAGTTCCAGCTCTTACGTTTAGGTCGATCCATTTTGAGTAAATTTTTATCTGTGGTATATGGCAAGGATTGAGCTCCATGGTTTTGCAAGTGAAAATCCACTTTTCCCAGTACTGGTTATTGAAAAGGCTGCCCTTTTATCTATTGAATGGGGAGAATTTTTTTGAAAATATTTTTTGCAATATGTAAATTTTGCAAAGTGGGAGTTTTAATCTCCCTAAAAGCACAAACTGACCTCGAAATGTTTCATTTCTTAAATAATATAAAAGTAGTAATGATTTGATTTGGATAGCTTCTGTGGTCATTATTATTGTAGACCCTTTCCCCCAATTATTCAGCCTCCCTGAATTTTATGGATATGATAATAATTTTGCAATTATATGTTTATACAATTAAAGAAGTATTGTTGAAGGTAAGGAGAATAATAAGTAAGTTGATTAAAAAACTCTTCAAATAATTTTTTTTGGAAAAGAAAGTATTTGTGTTGTTAACTATATGTACAAATGTTTTGCACGTATATGTATACATACACACACACTTTTTTTTTTTTGTAGAGTCAACTGGATGTACCATTTAAAGTTAAAGTTGGTCATATAGGTAAGCCATATTCATTACTAATATCCTCCTTGCTGGACATGCAAAACCAGAATACTTTACCTAATATCTCTGTAATGTGATCTTTTTAATGTTTCTGAGCATCAATTGAAAATAATTATGTGTTTTTGTTTAAATAGAGCTTAGTTGTGTAACTTAAAAATATTGTTGGTTCATATATTCTTTACGAAGTATTTGATATCTAAGAAATTATGCATCTTATTAGTTGTTAAGGTTGAATTAATTGAGAGGCCAAGAATTACATGTAACAGGGACCTTCATTGTCTCAGTTTCCTGGGTTTCTGACTAGTAACTATTGCTATATTCTGATCAATATTAGGTATATTATGTGTAAATTGTAGGGTCTGGCTCATCCAGGCACTGTGACGAGAGACCAATCTGAAAACGAATTTCTGCTCTGGAAGTTTTTCTAGATTTTAAGAAAATATTGTTTTATTTCTTTTCTTTTTTTTTTGAGTTGGAGTCTCACTCTGTTGCCCAGACTGGAGTGCAGCGGCCCCTCCCGGCCACCACAGTCTCGTCCCGCTGGGCTCCCGCGATCCTTCTGCCTCAGCCTTCCAAGTAGCTGGAACTACAGGCGCGCGCTACCACGCCCGGCTAATTTTTTGATTTATTGTAGAGATGAGGTCTCACCAACTTGCCCTGGCGGGTCTCGAACCCTCGGGCTCAGGCAGTCCACTCACCTCAGCCTCCAAGGCGCGGGATTACAGGCTGAGCCACCGAGCCTGGCTGTGTTTTATTTCTTATAGTGTGTTATTTTATCAGTGTTTTTCATTTATACCTTAAGTATAAATTTATACCTTAAGCAAAAAATTAGAATATGAGGTTTTAGCACATTTAATAAAAACTTGTCTGTCATGTTTCTTAAATTATGTTGTATAGTTTTATTGGTTTAAATGTTGTACAAGGTAATAGTGTTTTTAGTTGGTACTTTGAAATGCTTTTGTTATATAGATTGTTTTTGTAGTAGGATTTATATAATGTTGTTGAAGCTGTGTCAATTAGGGAGCAAGGTATTCTGAAAGCTTACATAAATTACATGATGAAGATCTTCAAAATTTTGTGTACTTAAGATTGGTATTACATGGTATGTCTTAGAAAATTTTCACCATCTTACATTACTGTGATTAGAATTCTGTCCTTCACCATTTAAAGACAATTTATCATGAACAAGAGGGGGATGATATCACCCATATTTTCCATATAGTATTTTTATTTTTGTATATTTTTAGTTTTTTACATATGTACATTTTAAATAATTGTAACTATGCTATATTTATAATTTTATAATTTTTTTGTTAACATGGATTTCTCATAGTCCAAGTTGATTTGAACTCATATATTCTGGTACCATAATCAGTGAATGCATATTTTGACTATTGTAGAATAATTTCATTTTTCTATTGGTACAAAAATATTAAGACATATATTTTATGTAACTTAAGAATTTGACAAAAGTCATTGAATTTTACGGTGGTGATTATTGTGTTTCAGGATATGTAAATTTAACCTCAGTTCAAGAAAAGTTTAAAAATATATACATATATATATGTATATATATATATCAGGAGAGTAGATAGACCTGTTTTCTTTAGAGCATGCCTGCCCTCTTTTTTCTTGCCTGATCTTGTTTAAAAATGATAATAAGGTAATTTTCAGTGGTAATATAAGACAGTGGAAAGTATGCTGGACTAAACCAAATATAATTTTGAGAATAATATTTTTTTTGGTTCTACGAGACACTTGAGTTTTTTGAGAAGTGTTTTTGTTTGTTTGTTTGTTTGTTTTTTGAGTCAGAGTCTTACTCTGTTGCCCAAGCTGCAGGGCAGCAGTATGATCATGGCATACTGCAGCCTCAACCTTTTGGGCTTAAGTGATCTTCCTGCTTCAGCCTCTCAAGTAGCTGAGACTACAGGTGTGTACCACTATACCTGGCAGATTTAAAAATTTTTTTTGAAGAGAAAAGGTCTCACTATATTGCCAAGGCTAGTCTTGAATTCCTGGTCTCAAGTGATTCTTCCACCTCAGCCTCCCATATGCTGGGAGTACAGGTGTGAGCCACTGTGCCCAGCTTGAGTAGGTTTAATTTTTAATGTATACTCACTTAGCGTATTACCTGACATATAGTAGGGGCACAATTTGTTGAAAGAAAGATGTGTACATTTCCAAACAAGTGATACTGTAGAATAATCATTTTTATAGGAATGTATTGTCTCCTTGCTATTATTAAGCATTGATCTTTCAAGGTTTTCCTCAGTTAGATTGATTACATGTATATCAAATATAAATACACATTTTAGAAGCGATTGTCTTGTATGGAAGGTTTTTGAATTACATCCGATTATATTTTTCTGAATTTGTCAACTTTTTCTACAAGGAATCTGCATTTTATAAAGAGAGGAAAAAGAGTTTGGTTTTTTAAAAAAAGATTTAGTGATGAAAATGGCACATTATTGTTTCCTTGATTATACAGTTTTGTAACTTTTTTGTTCATTTACTTTTTTTGTTTTAAGCAGTCTGTTTTGTACGTTTATAAATAAATTAACTGGGTCAAATTTGTTGCAGTTTATTTTTAATCTGCTTATTTAATTAGGTTTTATTTTTGACCTCTACAGAAATTTGAAATAATCCCTGTCTTCTCTGATTTTAAAACTTAGAAAGTTACTCTTCTTTTAGAAAGCAGGTAGTTTAGAGGCTGAGCGTGGTGGCTCATGCTTCGAATCTCAGCACTTTGAGATGTTGAGGCAGGAGTAATGCTTCGAGAACAGGAGTTCCAGACTAGTCTGGGTAACAGAGCAAAGACTTCATCTCTTAAAACAAGCACACTAACAACCCCGCCCGCCCCAAACTCAGATAGTTAGTTTTTCTCTGAAGTGGCATCGTATTATGAAATCTTTTTCTGTTTGGGGTTTTCTAAACATGGAATCTGGGAGCTATTTAAAGGGATGGAGTGAAGTAGTTTTTTTTCCTTTCCTATTATTAACCAGTTACTGCAGCATAGTATATTTAATAATCTGTCTCTTCCCCAACTATGACAACTTTCTAAATCTAGAAACTCATTTTTAAAAAATTTTTTAAAAATTTTACAAATTTTTATTATGGAAGTATTCTTTTTCTTTTTTTTTTTTGAGTTGGAGTCTCTCTCTGTCGTCCAGACTGGAGTGCAGTGGCCGCTCCCGGCCACCACAGCCTCGAGCTGCTGGGCTCCGAGATCCTTCTGCCTCAGCCCTCCAAGTAGCCAGAACTACAGGCACGCGCTACCACACCCGGCTAATTTTTTGATTTATTGTAGAGATGAGGTCTCACCAAGTTGCCCAGGCGAGTCTCGAACCCGTGGGTTCAGGCAATCCACTCACCTCAGCTTCCCAAGGCGTGGGATTATAGGCTGAGCCACTGAGCCCAGCTGGAAGTGTTCTTAATATACAAAACTAGAGTCAGTAGTATAATGAACCCCATATATAGTGTTTTTTTTAAAAGCAAGAAGCCTACTTTGAAGGTGACAAAAGTTTAAACATGTAAGAAATAAAAAATACTTTAAAAAATATTTTAAAAAAACACTTTGCTATTGGATTGTCTTAAAACATTTTCATTAGTTTGAATAATTTAAAAATATTGTCCATTATTTTTTGTTATTTTTATTATTGTATCTTATTGTATATATGTATGTATATTTTTCATATAGATAAGACTATATATAGTAATATATGAGGGGGGACGCAAAAAACCTGGAATTATCTTTCTAGAGGGAAAGCCCCTTGTAGTACAGGCTTTCTGTGCTAGCTAAGTGTTCTAGGAACCATCAGCATTAGTGCACCAGCTAGTGTTGTGAGAAGCTGCATTTGGTTTCAGTGAAAATTTTTTTGGAGATTCTTTGAACGTGTTTGTTCCTTTCATGATGGGTGACTTATGAGTGCACCTGCCTACACTGTGCATGGCATAACCTCGTGCCCTATTCACCCGATCTCATCTCAAGTGACTTTTTTAATTTCCCTGGATGAAAAAAGCTCTCAAAGAGAAACGCTGTGCCCATGTACAAGAGGCAAAACAAAAACGGCAGAAACACTAAAAGGCATCAAAATTGACAAGTTCAAAAACTGTTTTGAGCAGTGGAAAAAGCATTTGATACAGGTGTATCACATCAAATGGAGAGTACTTTGAAGGTGACAAAAGTTTAAACATGTAAGAATAAATACACAATTTTTTATAAATAAATTGTTTTTTTACATCCCCCTTGTATGTATGTATGATTATCATATATATTCTCTCTTTATATACACACATATGGAAAAACATATACACACACTTTAAATAAAGTATATAATCTACCTTTTTGAAGTATAAGAAAAATGCTTATGGGGTTTAAAGTAAGAATTGGAGAAATTCAAGAAGATGATATCAAAGATTGTTGACTAAGGGAAGAAGAATGTACTAGACTTTCTAACAATTCTGATATAAATACAGTAATTTCAAATTATTGCAATAAAGGCTTGTTTTGGTTGTAAAATAGCTTTCAGTAAAATGACTGAGTTCTTAAGGACAAGGGCCAGTTTGTTATCTCTTCTAATACCTGACAGAAAATAGGCTGACAGTAACTATAATTTGAATGAATAATACTTTTTGTACTGTTTATTTTTCTTCAAAAAAATAGGTAATCTTAAGCTTATAATTCCCTGGAAAAACCTTTATACTCAGCCAGTTGAAGCTGTATTGGAAGAAATTTATTTACTCATAGTGCCTTCTTCTAGTAAGTTAAATTTTTAAAATTATAATTAAGTTATACTTTTTCATGCATGGAAAAAATCTTTGCATTTCATAATTATACTTGATATAGAAGTATACTTGCAGAATACTTTGGGGGACTTTTTTGAGTTAGTGTTTAAAATTCATAATTGTTAATGCAAATTAAATTGGTTTTTACTCTGAATTTTTGCAGTCTTTGAATTAGCGATTATTTTCAAGGATTTTTTAAGAATAAACTTATTTAAATTTAGGGTAATTCTGTTTTTTCTTTATTATGCTTCCTGTAGGAATAAAATATGATCCTTTAAAAGAAGAAAAGCAACTCATGGAAGGAAAGCAACAAGAGCTAAATAGAATAGAAGCAGCAAAACAAAAAGTAATTGATCAAGGTAAAGAAAACAATAAATAACAGTGGTAATAAGAAATGTAGAAAAGTCCCAAATATTTATGATAGTTGAATATTAATTTTCTCCAGAGACGCTGAGAGTACTTAACAAATATGAGAGAATCTTATTAAGTGGGGAATTTTAATGTGGTTTGTGTGTTTTGTGATGTGTACAGAAATTTTACCTTATAGAAATTTATCTTAAGACAAATAATATATCTCACTTATAAAGGCAAGGCCTGTTTTTAATGATAACAATCTCATTAAGTATATTTTCATACCTTTCCAGGCTTTACTCTTTTATTCTCCTTATATCAATTTTTTACCATTTTGGAGATGTTTAGTTTTCTGATAGATTTATATTTGCCTCCATCTACTTATTTACTCTCTGGCTTAAAATCTTTTCCTATTCAACATAGACCCCTTGGTCCATTACTACAATCCCTTTTTCATAATTGGAAGAGGTGTCTGGCAGAAATCTGTTCTCTGGTCGTCATTACCAGCTACTTTTTACACTCTGACCTAGTGAGTCTCTCTCTCTCCTTATCATGTAAATATACCGTGGCCTCTTCTGATCTTGAAACATAAAGTCGTCTTCGTAACCTAGTCATCTGTTTATCTTTTGCTCCTCTGTCCTTTGTTTAATAGTATGTTAAAAGAGAATTATACATGAACAGACTTCATTATACCTGCATTGCATTCATTTTTAAAAATGAAAAACTCCAATAATAAACATTTTACCTGTTGACAAACATTAATGGAGACTTAACACGCAATCCCTGGCACTACCTCTTGTAAATTGTTTCTTCTCTGTCATTCTTTCATATCCTATGTAGTCACTTATCTCTACCTCCAGTCCTCTCTTTCCTATGTCTCCTAGGTTTCTTCCTTTTAAACAGCGTTTTCATTTTATCAAGGTAATGCATATAAATAGCTTTAAAGGTTAAGCAGTACTGTAGAACCCATAATTAAAAAAAAACCAACTCTATCCCTGTCTTAGCCTTGTACCCGTATTGCTAAATAAGATGTTTACACCTCTATTAGTTGATTTATTAAGTTTAGATATTATGTATATATGCTTCTTTTATGGTATACTATGAAGATCAACCCTATTTTTTCATCTTCCTTGTATAGTTGTATCACATATTTGGCTAAATCAGTTTTCATTGTTTATATTGTCATGACTATATGTACATATTTATTACTGAGCCAAATAATATACTCTAATTACATATATTTTCTACCACATTTTTGTTATTTGTTTGGTAATAGTAAGTGGGTGCGGGTCGGTTTATTGTGTAGACTTTTACTTAATCTCGCTGTTTTGATATGAGGTTCTCCCTATCCTTTCTTACACAAAGGGGGACCCCCAAAAAACCAGAAATATCTTTTGGAGGGCAGGCACCTTGTAGAACACTTGGAATTTGTTTCTCCGTTTTTATCTGAAAGTTTTAAAAGAGTTGCATCATGATTTGTGGAAGAACATCTCAAGTTGTGGTAAATAGATAACTGGTTCTTTCACCATGACAAGACATTTGCCCATATTGCGTTGAGTGTTCAGCAGTTTTTGACCAAAAATGTCATGACCCTGGTGTCCTACCTTCTCTGTTCACCCATTCTTACCCTAGGTGAGTTGTTTTTTGTTTTCCCAGTTGATAAAAGGGCTCAAAGAGAAACATTTTGCAGATGTGGAAGAGGTAAAACATAAAATTGTAGAAGCACTAAAAGGCATCAGAAGGGATGTGTTCAAAAACTGATTTGAGCAGTGGAAAAAAGCATCTTGATAGGTATATTGCATCAAACAGTGAATACTTTAAAAGTGACTGAAATTTAAATATGTAAGAATAAATACATAATTTTTAAAAAAATTCTGTTTTTTAGGGGGCCCCTCTCATGTATGGTAACAGAATCTGAAGCCTGTTAGATTCATTTTCTCTGGAATAGACATTTGCATTCCTACTTGGGTAGGAAAGGAATAGTTGCTTAGATGCTAGGCTGGGAGAGAGAGGGGACTTAGAAGTTTAACTGCTCATTATATAGACTTAAACCAATTCTTGTATTATCTTTCTCTCCCTCCACTGTGTTCCTTGTTTGTGGTTTTTGTTTTGTGGGATTTTAGCTCCTGAATCTTTCCAGGTTTTTTATTTTTAAAACTCATCTTGTGTTTTGTTGGTATCTCCATCTATTGCATTTCTTCCTCTCTGCTAAGTTGGCTAAGGCCATCTGCCTTGTAGCTTCTGTTTCGTTTTGATTTGTTCTTTCTCCTGGCTTTTCTTTCTTTTGGCCTTGAGAATTTATCCATTTTCCCTTTATTTTTGTTTTAATGAATTATTACCAAGGAATAGAGAAATAAATGCAGGAATGTTTAGGAATGTTTACTCTTGGTTAAAATTCATCAATGATAACTTATTGTTATCAGGTTGAAGTTTAAATTCTTCAGCAAGATACATAAAAGCTATCATGATTTGAATCCTCTTATCTCTTCTGCCTCATAACTGGTCCCAAATTTTTCTTATCGCCTTTATTCTTTGCTGTAGTCATACTGAGTTATTTATTGTTTGCTGATGTACCAAGTTCTCTGCACTCTATTTCTCACTTCCTACTTTATTCAGTATACATTTGAGAGTTATCAGCATTAAGATGATAGTTCAGTCTATGAGGTATAGATGAGATTCCCTGCAGCAGCAGTATGGAATGATAAGAAAAACAATCCTAGAACTGAGCCTTAAGAAAATCCAACATTTAGTTATTGTACAAAGGAGAAAAACAGACAAGATCAAAAAGGAGTATACAAGTAAATAGGAAGTTTGGAGTTTATGGTTCCATGGGAAGAGGGCTGTGAAGCAAAGAATGTATCAGATACATTGGTGATAACAGGTAAGATGAAGATTAAGAAATTGTCATTTTATTTACGACATGGAAGTCGTTGGTTACCTTAGAAACAACTATTTTTATTGAGTGATGGAGCTTCTCTATATTTCAGTTGGAGACAAGGTCATCTGCTGTATAGAGAGCAGTGGGAGAGCAGATAGGCTTTGAGGAGAGTCTAAACGAATTTTAAAATAGTTGTTTGAGAGACTGTGAACATGTTGACCAGAGAAATATTAAGATTGCTGGTTGGTTGAAGTGGTGATGACTAATTTACAATAATTCTAATCTGTCCTATTGTGAGTTTTTTCCTCCATTACTTATCTTGCAAGACATAGGCATAGGCATGTTTTTATATAAAATGGATAGTTGTTTTATTCAAGGTTGGGGCTTAATTGACAGGAAAATGAGAAAAAAGAGCAAAGGAATTTAAGGTGTTGGTAAATAATATGTCATGGAATCTGAGCTGCATAAGGAAGTCAGGAGAAAGCTACTGGGTAGGGAAAGATTGATTTAGCATTTAATGACTGAATGGATTTGTAAGAGCAAAGGATTTTATGAAGTAGTGAGATTCAAAGATTAAAGTACTATCCTCTGTCTTTAAAAAACTTGTAGTGTTTGCTTTACTTAATTCTATAATTTTATCATATATATATTTACTTACCTGATATATTTGAGGTACATATGATTAATATCATCATCAATGCTCCTTTAATGCTTCCTGGACTAACTGAATTAGAGAGTAGTAGGCAATTAGAGGAAAAGATAGATGCAGTATGTATATTAGCTATATATAGGACTAGGAATGTGAAAGGAACAACAGGATTAGAAATATAAAAGGATGTGTAGCTTTTGTTGGCATTTTTAAAGGGAGAAGATAGCGATGATTATCAAAGGCGTATTTCAAAAACAAAATTGGAACTTCAATTCTTTATTTTTTCTATTCTCCTGGAAAGTAATGAAACTCGAGATAGTCAACATTGTTTTCTGAAAATGATACAGATGATAAACTCCTTTCATTTTTGTTTGGGAGGAGAGAGGAAAAGGATCTTTTAATTTTCTATTTTCTATTTACCAAGGGGAGGAGCATATTCATTGTTTTATACATGCATTCACAGGTAACTTATGATGGTATCACTAATTTTAAGAGCTATTTCTGCTTTGCTGCTGGTACTGGATTATCTAAGCCTATTATATTCTTACCTAATAATCTTCATTATTTTCCCTATCTTTATACTCAGGCATAGTTAACAGGCAAATTATAAAACTTAATGACAGTAAATTCTACATGGTTGGTTTTAATCTTATATCACAATAAACTAGCAAATAAAAATTGGGGGCTTGGTTGCCTTTGGAAAACTTTTGGAATGCAGGCTATTAGTGGTCTATTTACAAATACATGTTTTCTTTGACAAGGCAACATAAGTATGTTACTGCAATATGTGGATATTTTTAGAGTATATTTTTCATTCAAGTTAAAAAAAGGAATATTTGCAATTGTAGAACAACCTCAACTGGAGAAACAGGACACTTTTGCAGAAAAATTAGTTACTCAGATCATAAAAAATCTTCAAGTGAAAATTTCCAGCATCCATGTTCGTTATGAAGATGATGTAAGTGCTTTCATACGTGATATTTGTGTTTATTTTCATACTTATATTATTGTGCTGTTTATTGACACTGTCGATTACTCTGTAGTGGTGAACCTGTTAAGTGCTGAGAGTTACAAAACGGAAGATAACATGATCTTTCTTTTTTATAATTATAGTTGTAATGTGTAGCCTTTAGTGGTAAGTGCTGGATTTTATACTTTCCCTTAATGTTCAAACATCAGATCATGAAGGAAATGCCTCGGGGTTTATCAATTTATCATTGTGTATTTTTTAAATACTTAAAAATATTCTATAATTTGTCTCTTAGAGGGCTAGTCTAGGAATCAGTAGAGCAATTAAGTTGTTTCAACTTAAATAGGTAATTTGTTCTTTCTTTCTTTTTTTTTTTTTTTTTTTGAGTTGGAGTCTCACTCTGTCGCCCAGACTGGACTGCAGTGGCCGCTCCCGGCCACCGCAGCCTCGACCTGCTGGGCTCCGGTGATCCTTCCGCCTCAGCCTTCTGAGTAGCCAGAATTACAGGCATGTGCTACCACGCCCGGCTGATTTTTTGATTTATTATAAAGATGAGGTCTCGCTGCCCAGGCAGGTCTCGAACCCGCGGGCTTAGGCAATCCACTCACCTCAGCCTCCCAAAGGCGCGGGATTATAGGCTGAGCCACTGAGCCCGGCAATTTGTTCTTTCTTAAACACATAATTATTTGCTTTACAATCCCACTGTCACTGTCATTTTTAAATACAGTTATAGTATTGTTGTATAACATGAGTACATTAATAACTAGTATTCTGATTTGTTTTAGGAAAATTATAGGAATAAAAGTTATTCTGAAAAGTAGTAAAATATTTTTGAGTGTTTGAAATAAGATACTTCCAGGAATTAAACTTTCTCTATAAAGTGAATTTTGTTCAACTATTATACAAATCTGAGTGAAATTTACTTTCTTTACTCTTTAGATCACAAATCGAGATAAACCACTGTCATTTGGTATTTCTCTTCAAAATCTCAGCATGCAGGTACTTTGTTTATAAAAGAAACTTAACCATGTTGAATTGTGCTGTATAATTAAACTACTGGTTACTACTTAGTATGTCAGTATAAGAAATAAGTGTCTATTAGAATTGGTCCAGAAAGTGCATAGACTAGATTGGAATTGAGTGTAGGTAGATTCACATTTCAAAAAGTGGTTGGAAACCAAATTTAGCTTAAAATATGAGGGCCGATTATTCATGGTAATTATGATGTTAGATATTTTGTTTACTTAAAAATTAATTTCCACATTTTTAATGAGTACAAAATAAAATTAATGTTTATATCTGAAATGTTGATAAGACTTGAAAAACATAAAGTACCAAATAATCTATTTCCTCAGTATCATTATTAGTATTGTGGCATACTTTCTTCCTGCCTAATTTTTGAAATTGAAGAATTTTTAAAATATAGGAACACATAGAGAATTAAGAAATATATGCTTGTCTACAGAATGGATAGTTGTTCAATTTGTCATTTGTTTAGTCTTAAATATTTTCATAGTAATAAGCTCTTGTGGGTAAAGTTAAAACTCTTTTGTTCTCCTATTCTTTGTTCTCCCCTAGAGATAAACATACTAATTTTTAAACATTTATATAATATATCCATTAAAAATGTAAGTTTTTAAAAGTGTACATAAATGTTTGTATGATTCTTCCATATGTTTGCTTTTACACTTCACAATGTTTTTGTGTTGCCACATGTAGTATAGTTAATTCAGATGAACTGTTGTATCATATTTCATTATTTTATTTGTTTTATCTATTGGGTTTGTGTATGATTTTTTTTTTTTTTTTTTTTTTTTTTTTTTTTTTTTT